TATGTTATTGAAATTATGATGATTTATTTATTCTAATGTAAATAGAATTTATCTTTTTGTAAGTCTCCTTAGCTTGGTTTCTCGAAGAGGATATACTTATGTTGCGCATGGAAGTGATATACGCGAAACCTCTACAGAAAAGCGTTAATGCAAAACTACAAACACTACGAAGGTAAATATTGCACACAGTGGCTCATTTGGGAATCAAGACGCGACATGGAAACTGGACACAATAATTGACTGAAAGGAGTAGTTTAATCTGCTAGACTCTTAAAAATGCTTAAAAACGTTGAAGGTACACCTCTGCTAGATTGTAGTCAAAGATACGTTTGAATGAGTCATATTCTAAATAATCTTAAATAATCGTAATATATTTTTTAAGTGAATGGCGCTTTCTATACAGAAGACAATGTGCGCTGACAGGTAACGTCTAATTTGTGTGACACGAGCCACAAAATCAGCATGAAACTAATAAACTAAGTAAACCAAACCATTTACCCTTACCAGCCGCCTAGATGAAAGAGGTAATGGCCCATCCCAAGTAACACCGGGTCACTCATTTGTTTTCTGCCATCGATACTATATTTTTGTTACCATTATAAAACTCCTTCGCCATTCACGTTCCCCTCTTATACCTACATCACCTCATCACTTATCAGCGTCGGAATTCACAGTAACGTCAGTTATGTCTTCTGTCCCATGACGCGCATGTCCCCCGGTGGCTGTTGTCTCAAGACTTTCATTGTCAAGAGTTTCCTCTTTGTCTCTGGGAGTGGTCGCCGCGGTCTCGTTTGGCACTGCATACGCAACCGCCGAAGGTCGACCTCCTGTTGAGGTGGCGTCTTGGGCCAATGGTGTCTCCTTGCCGCTGCCTACTTTCGTCATGAGTATGCCCACAAGGATGGTGGCGAAGATGAGCACGACCGCACAGATGGCAAAAGCGAACACGCTGCTGGGAATGTAGCCGTAAGTGCCGTCCGGGCCGTCGCCCCCTTCCTGGGCCGGGACCAGGCCAACCCCGAGGAAGGACGACTCGTCCGGGGTCGCAGCAGGTTTGCCGTCTGGTAGGGGCTCATGTCGCTTTCGAAGATCACGGAGCTCGTCCGCGGTCTGTTCATCGATTGGTTCGTGGAAGGATACTCGGCGACCGGCGGCCATCTGAATTCCTTATGGTTCTTGTTCTTCGTCTTCTTCTTTGCACACAGTGATGGTGGTGAAATGCCTGTTGCGGCAGCTAAACGAAACAACAACAAATTAGTCGTTAGTTTACATTATACATAAGAGTTTAGTCTTCCAAAACATGGTGACATTGTTACCTACTGTAGATGATCAATTTAGCCAGTGCAGTTCGACTGCTAGACTGGGCTTTTTAGTGCGCATCATTCAGTAGTGATACATGGCCTAAAGTCACTGAATGTTCCCAGCACGACCTTCTACATACGTATTGAGTTAGTTCTGGTTCCAGGAAGTCAATCTCGCAGAATTCAGTTCTGATTGGTGGTGTTCTAGCCCCCCCCCCCCCCCCCCCAAGAAAAAAGAAAAAGTAAAGGTATATAAAAAGTTTCCGCGTTACAACGGGTACGGCGGGTACGCACGGGTGGTAGCTCTGGGCATTGATTAGCAAGGACCACGGTGGTACAAACATGTGTTTCTTCCACCGTGGCAAGAACCGAACGGAAGGTGCGTTGATATTTTCTAGTGTTTTATATCATGTAGGCCGCTAATCTGGTTTACCAATGAAGACTGCCGGCTAGTTTGCTCATTCCGGTTGCGCTGCTGCTGCGTTTCAAACTCTACGCATCAGACGCTAAGCCTGACACTCGAATTCGATGTTTTTCGAGTCGAGAGATCGATCTGGATGAGCATCATACCGGCGTGCGGTCGTGTATCACTACTCCGTGATGTACGTTAAAGACCCCAGGCTAGCGGACGGTCTGCCTCAACGGACTCGTCGCCCGTTGAGGCAGACCAAGTTCTAGTCTGTATAAACATACACACAATCCAATTTTTTTTTTCGAGTCGAGAGAGAGAGAGAGAGAGAGAAAGAGACGAGACAGCAGGGAGCAATTCACGCACCTCTCGGAACGAAGGAAGCAACTTTAATAAAAACAAACCAGAGTCGCCAGAGACCAGGAAAGTAAATTGAAGAGTTCGCACAAGAACGAACGCCTTGACAGTACGCTCTTCTCTTCGACCGTACAGGGCAACGCCATATTGGGGATGGGTTGGAGCGCTACTGCTGCGCCACGACTCGGTTCTTAAGCAAAGTTTGGGAGTTTAGTACTCTTGAAGTATTAGCGGCGAGATGTTTTGGTGGCGGCCTCCTACGGTTCCCCCTTGTGACGTCATTACCTTGCGAACAACAAGTTCGATGGCGTTTGTAAATAGCATGGCGGAAGCCTGAAATCATTGCGCTCTCAAAGCAACACTGCCAACACCGTCGAAATTAAGGTTCTTTCATTCCTCTTATTTCCGTCGATGGTATACCCTTTCCGACGTCATAGTCAGTTTTTGGGCCAATCGTGGAAGGCCGACCACAGCGACGCTTTCGGTCGCGCACGTCGCCAATAGGGAGTATTCACTGGCGGCCATATGCGTGTGCGCTGCTGCTGAGCGCGTGCTGACGGCGAGCTTCCGCAGTCCTTTTGGAGCGTGCATTTAGCACCATCAAGGTTGCCGGTCTTAGCAGGTTATTAATGTGAGCTTGTTTTGAGCATGCGCTCTAAACATCACCCTCAAATATGGCGTCCAGTGAATACCTCCTATAGCTTACACTAAGTATAGTCTAACATTAGACACTTTTAGTTGGGCGTACGCAACGAGCTTGCGTACGCAGGAACTTTGCGGGCCGCGAGTGCGCCTGCGCAGAACGTAACGTAACGTTGTGCTGCCGGCGTGCGTACGCACGCAGTGAGACGTTGCGTGCGGGTCCCGCGGGCCACTGCGGGACGGTCTCGCGAGATCTCGGCCGAACGAGAGTGCATTTCAAGATGGCCGCTGCCACGGGAAACAACTGTGGAAACGACGCCGCTCCTAATGGAAATCGCGTGTTTTATACGGTGAAAGTGGATATAGCGTTGCTGCTGGAAGTGCAAGCCAGTGATCCGTTCAGGAACCCGGACCAAGGGGAAGAAATAGCCGTAAGGCTCAAGGCAGTTCTCGGCAAGCCGTTCAGCTCCCGCAGTGTGCGCGGGCGGTTCGACTTGCTCGTGTCGCGTTACGCGGCAAATGACCGCAGAAACCTGCAAAAGTAAGTTTTTCTTGTTTCCTGCATTGTGTGCACAAGCTTTACTTCGCGGAAATGCTTTCTTGTAGATCCGGTACGGAGGAGGAGTACACAGAACGGGACCAGCTACTCCAGGACATTATCAGTTTGTTACAAGGCACTAGCTACAAAATACGCCTGGCCCGAAGGAGCACCACCAACAGCGCGGCTACCCCTCACCCACCAAACGGCGCCTCAGCCGCGCGGAAAGCAGCAGTGGCTGCCAGAGACGCTGCGGCGAGCAGCTACGCGGCCCCTGTCTACGGTGGGGATGTAGGCAGCCCCGATGTGAGCCCTGGCACTTCCAGTAAGTGCTCCCTCACAGTGATGCAAAGGCTTTTCATGCATCACGCTGACATGTTCCGTCAGGTTTCATTTGATAAACCGTGTTTGCAGGCGCTAGCCAGGAGGCCACGGCAACCGAAATCTTCAATGCCATGTTTTCGACGCCTGTGGACGACGCGGAGCAGGCACCGAGCACGCCGCCGTGCAGTCTTGCCATTCAACCGCCTGTCGCCGAGACGCCTGCAGCCAGCAACGGCCAGCCAAGGGCTGACCCTCAATTGGAAGTATCCCAGGGTCATCCAGTGGGGGGTAAGTTGTTCGCAAACTGTGTGCCAAGAGCAGGGTGTTGGCACCGTGCGTCATTGAGGCAGGAAGCATCAAAACGACAGTGCATTAATAAAAAATGTATGAATAGAGGGCTATAGCCTCTCTCCTGTAGTGCACACTACAAACATTTTTCTTGATGAGGCTCGATTCCAAGAGCTAACGGCTGTTGCAGTTACCTTCACCAGTTTGCTGGAAGAGCGCTGAAGCTCAACAATAAATTTAACATTGGTGTTTTGATACTCCGTAAATTCTAGTTATGTGTATTGGCCAGGCATACTTGATGTCTCTGCTGCTTGCTTTTTTTAGTCGGTTCTATAATTTCCTTCATGTCATGTACCCTGTGAATTTGAACGGTGGCTCTGCTTGCTTTTCATATACAGTACTCACACCACTTTAAAAACTTCTTTGATGGTCTGTAGTTTGCTATGAGAAATTACAAGAAAGGTTGTTAAAAGAATTGGTTTCTCTCCCCTTTTCCCTCACCATTTTTAGCCCCCTCGTCCCCCGAAATGAAGTTCTCCTTTGCCACTGGTATAACCTCAAGCTCAGACTTTATAGGCTGGAACCTACCGGCTTTTGTATCTTTGCAGTAAAGTACATGCGAGCCATGCCCAATGGAATTAGTATTAAGTTGAGGAATGTCTTAACACTATGCTTATATTTTGTATGCTAAGCTATTCCTGACTTCTACATGAATTGCTATATTTACATATTTTATCTATCCTTTGAAAATGTAATGCCTTCTTTTACAGGAAAACGGAGACAGGAACAGCAGGCTGATTATGACTTCATGATGAAGCGCATGACGCATGAAATGCTAATGAAAGAAAAAGAAACAGAAGTGGAGTTACGCCGGCTTGCCCTCGAAGAGAGCCGGCTGGCTTGGGAAAGGGAGCGGGCACTTATGGAATCCCGTGAGAGGGAAAAGGACCGCAGGGAGCGAGCAGAAGAAAGGCAAGAAGAGCACAAAGCACGGGTGGAAGAAAGCCAGGCTTTCATACTTCTCATTGAGAGCCTACTGTCAAAGATCAACAAGTAGCCTGCACGGACAACACATTGTTTGGCTTTTAAATTGTATGAATGGCAATAACACATTCTTTTCTTTTAATCTACGGACAGTTGATTAAACAATGTGTGGCTCCAGGTACTCCCGCAGAGGAGGTGGGTCCAGGCCGAAATAGGTCGACACCTGGCTTCCATAGATGATGGTGTGGCAGTTGGTGAAGATTGTGCCCACTTTGTACATCTCCTCTACCTGCTGCCATAAAAGTTTCTGGTTCTTTTTAAAGTCGAGGAAGGCAAATTCGGCCACCACCTTTCCAAATCCCCACTCAACGGCTTGCCGGACCCTGCTCATACTAAAGTTAAATGCTTCCTGCTCAGGCGTCTTACGGCAGCCGCCATATGGCTTCATTAGGAGTGGTCGCAGCGGATATGCCGGATCGCCGTAAATGTCGAAATCTTCATTGTTGACGAGCTTCTCCAGCTTAGAGTACAATCCACTCTCTCGGAATATTCCTGCATGAAAAGAAGAACCAACTTTTAGCCAATATATTTCAATAACGTTAAGTTGCAATGCTGGCAATCATTCCAATTGATATGGTAGGGTCTGCACTAACGGAGCATCTTTGGTTGTGCGACTCATTTATGTTCACTGAATTCAGAGTGAACTCGTGATAATACATGTTCACAGGACGCGTCGCGAACAACATCCTGAAAGGCTTTCTCTATTCTAGGCGCCTCGGCTTCAGGGAGTTTGGGAGTCCCCTGCCCCTCCATGGGCACTTCTGCTAAGCTCAATGGGGGGCAGGGAGAGTGCTTGCTCAGTATAATAAAAAAAAGGGTGCACAGAAGAAGGGGGGGGCACCAAGTTTTTTTTTTTTTTGTTCCCCTGCGAATTGCTCCAGAGTTAGGTCCGCCTGATGGGGAACATGAAGTGCCAGGCCTCGCTCAGACCGGCAAGGTGGCAAGGTGGCAAGATGGCAAGGTGGCAATGTGCCGGATGGCATCCCCATCTCCAAACAGGGCCCCTGAAGGGGAGAAGGTGAAGGGGGTCGGTTCTTGCCTTTCCTCCACCAACCGGGGCTCCCATTTCAAACGGGTAGATAGTGCAGAGGGTCAACAGTGATCACACCAAACAGCGAGGGAAAGTCACAAACATTTTGAAATCATGGTCGAGCCCTGAATTTTGCAGTGACAAACTAATATTTTAGGCTTCTGGCTGTGCTTCTCGTATGCAGCGAAGAAGACCTAAGAGCCAACTATTAGAAAAAGCTTGGCAACAAAATATACTCACTCGCGTCATGGTAGCTCCCTGGGTAATGCCCGTCCAGCTGGCACACAATGCCGTTCGGGCACATGACGGATTGGTACTTCACCATATGAGTTCTCTTATGACCCGAAAAGTACAGTTTTTGGTTCCTTTCGGGTCGGCATATGGGGCGAGCGGTCCCATCGATAAAAGCCCAACAGTTGGGCAGGGCACCACCTTTGTCATGAACAGCCTGCGAAAAAGGATGGCAGGATATGAAGACCATGAATAGCATATTCATATTTCACTTACCGTTGCAAACCTCCCAAGCGTAGCTGGTGAAAGCCACTTGTGCATATTGCAGTCGTCGATGAGGTGTCCGAAGGTGGTTATGACGTGACTTATTAGCTTGCTGACAGCACTCGACATTACTGACGAATGCCGTCCAAAAATCTGCTCGAGGTCGCACCAACGGTTCGGGTAGGCAAGCCTACGCAGCGTCAAACACAGTGCTTCCTTCCCAGTTATCCTTACACCTTGCGCAGTAGTGATAGTCTGCGGAATCAGGAGAGCACTGGAGAGCTCATCAAAATCCAGCTTTTCGAATCTAAATTGCTGCTTGAAAAGCGTGGCTTCCCCGTTGCCGATGTCCAGCGAACCGTGCCGAGAGCGGTACCTGAGGAGTTCGGACTCCCTGCTGCACCTCATCTTGTATTCCAACTCGTCCAGCGTGAAATAGCTGCGTAACTGCGGTTGCACGTTTAGCGTCACAAGATCGTCGATCTCCGCCCACGTCAGCATGGAGGCAACTTGGGGGTTTGATAAGATACTTCTTCGAGGCATTGCCGGCATTGCGATAAATCACCATACAACAGAACGAAGGAACCGGCTAAGCCTACGGCTTGGCTTGGCTACTTTCGGTCAATACTTGAAAGATTGAAAAAAACAGTTCTTTTCTCTAGCGCTAGATGGCGCTAAAATACACCATAAAGCATCTGCGGGTTTGTTTTATATATCCAGTTGGAAGAACACTAACGCACGTCAAACCCGTCCAACTAAAAGTGTCGTGGACGCGCCACTTGCTGCGTACGCAACGCACCGAAGGTTGCCTACGCAAGCTTCCTGCGTACGCCCAACTAAAAGTGTCTATTATCGTGGCACACCGGTACGATGCTCAGCCACATTAAACGGACAGGGGATTGGCAGGGGTGGTGATTGAACCCGAGATCCCTGGGTTCTGAGCACGAGCTTTCGGTCCACGTGCTCCGAGCTGGTGTGCGCTATTGGCGACGTGAGCGATAGAAAGTGTCGCTGTGGTCGGCCCACCACAATTGGCCGAATGCTGACTATGACGTCAGGAAAGGATGTCTCATCGATGGAAATAAGAGGAATGTAAGAACTTCAATTTTCACGGTGTTGGCAGTGTTGCTTTGAGTGTGCTGTGATTTCAGGCTTCCACCATGCCCATTACAAACACCATCGAACTTGTTCACAATGTAATGACGCCACGAAAGGGAACCGAACGAAGGTGCCACCGAAACATCTCTCCGCTAATCCCACTCAGCCACTGATACCCCCTGCGATATCTCCGTCTCACACCCGAGTTACCGTGAACTAGAACGATACTCCGTTCCATACTTAGTAAACAACGCTGTCAAGGCTACTGGCGGGAGCGCGTGGCTTCATGGATGATTTCGTGTTACGAGAACGCATGCAAATAATCTGCGAGTTCAAACCCCAGGCTCGCGAGAGCAGCTTTGGCAGTGTTGTACACTAAGTATGAAACAGAGTATAGACCCCTTTCACAAGTGCGCCCCCTCCCCCCTCCCCGACAGTAGGCTTTTTGTCAGTTTTAATTTTAACAGCATCATGGGATAGCAAATCGTCATGTTTCGGTCAGCTTCCTCCACGATGAGGTCGGAACGTCGTGCGTCATCATTTTATGGTATTTCGCCACACGTAGTTCTCTTCTTTTTCATGAGCGACGCCGCCTACCTCAAAACGTGATGGAGAAGCGACTTGACGCGACTGCCAACGATGTCCGCTTCGGACCTCGCCCGCCTGGCGTCAATCACAGGGAGAGCAAAATGAGAACATGCTGTGATCATCTTGCTATGTTGTAGGCAGCAGACGAAACCTCCTAGTACGCGTGGAATGTTCGCAGTGTTTCCACTTCTGTTATGTCATCACTTTCATGAACATAAGCATCGCAGGTTCTTGTCTCATTTGAGTCCAGCTATAGAGCTGACCCGCTTCCTCAGCATGTGCAGGCCCTGGCTTAGCATATCTAACTCTTTTCTGCCTTTAGGAGTGGGCAGCCGATAGCACACATCGGCGATCGTGAAATGCCGGCAGCAACAGCGTTGTGGCGAGTGTCGTCTGCTAGTGACCGAAACATGGCGGCCTGTCCTAGTTTCTCTCCGCGGCCCGTTTAGGTATGGGACCGATTGAAAGGGAAATGTTTCGTGGTTTGGTGGCGACCTCCTATTGTTTCCTGTCGTTACGTCATTCCCTCGCGAACAACACGTTCGATGGTATTTGTAATAAACCGATCTCACGAAGCGTTCCACGCTTGCGTGACGCTGCCATAACTGTAGTTCGTAGGAGGCAGACGCCAGTTCACGAGATAGGTCATGCCGCCTCGTGCTCTGCTCGCGCAGACCTCCAGCAGGGTTGCCGCGCGTGCAGAAAGACTACAGCTCTTGCGATGCATGGCGGCAGCGGTGGCGTACTCAAACTAAAGCCCCTTGATAAAAGTGTTTTCACAAGTACCGCCAACCATTGTTGTGGAAATGCGCAAGACACGTGCCACGAGCGGGTGCTCCGCCGCCATTCGCTTCCAAGGGCCGCTCATTTCAGTGCTGCGCCGCCATTTGCTTCCAAGGGCCGCTCGAGACCTGGGCCACGTGCGCTCGCGCATTTGGCGCTACTTGCACAGACAAACGAAAACATATCGAGGGGCTTTAACTCAAACTAGCTGTGAGATCGGTCTATTAGCACGGTGAAAGCTTGAAATCATTGCGCTCTGAAACCAACACTGCCAACTCCGTCAAAATTAAAGTCCTTACGTTACTCTTATTTCCGTCGATGCGTGGCCGGGTGGGCTAGCGCACACCAGCTCCGAGCACGTAGAGCTAAAGCTCGCGCTGCAGAATCCAGGGATCCGGGGCTCAATCACCACCCCTACCCGTTTCGGCTTGGATGAGCATCATGCCGACGTGCGGTCGTGTATCGCTACTGCGCGGTGCACGTTAGAGACCTCAGGCTAGGGTTGTACCGCACTGACTGAATTGCTCATCTACAGCTGAGAGACAAGTCACCCGTCGAGGCAGACTAACTTCAGACTGTATAAACATACACACAACATACTTTTTTTCAAATATTTTGCTGACGTCATTTTCAGCATTTGGCCAATCGTGGCAGGCCGACAAATGCGACGCTTTTGGTCGCTCACGTCACCAATAGAAGTTGTCGAAAAAGCAGTGGAAGTGCGTCATCGACCGTCTGAAGTCAAGGGTGATGAATGCTGCGTGTGATCCCGAGGAGCTTGTGCTGCTCGAGCTGTGCCCTGCTTCCATGCTGTGTCCGCTAAAGACGCTCTCCACACGAGCCGGATTTTAGCCGCCATTGCTGACCTTTTCTTGTCTTACCGAGATACCGAGACACTAAAGCGGGCGTTGACAAGCCTGCACAAAGACCTATGCTGGGGAGGAAGACACAGTCAAATCTACAATTGCAATAACCTGCCCTGCTGTGGTTATGATGAAATGAAGTAAGTGGAATAACAAGGAGCATAAATGAAAGGTCGGTTATGGCCGCGCTCATGTACAGCTGCTGCAAAGCGTTTATAATGGAGAGAAAAAAAACGAGAATGCTTGGCACATGCTCGCACCTGGAGGCTGTCTTATGCGAGTTAGGCGAGGGTGTTCAATGGTGATGATTGATGATGATAATTTGCGGCTGTTTCTTTTTTAAATCGGGTGGTCTCGTGGAGGGGACCTAGCCTGTGGTGTTTTTCTAGCCTTTTTGCTGCGCAAACAATTCCCGATATTTTAACCTTCTCTTGGTGGTTTCCACCACTCCCCACCACATTTTGTTGGTGATTGGCGTAGAATCTGCGCCTAGAGTATTCCAAAAGCCGAGTGCTGCTGCTAGCGCAGGCTCAATAAATGTCTCTCCAGACTGCTGGCTCTGTTGGGTACAGGCCGGCGCACGACAGTACAATTCGCAACTCTCAGCGATGGTGGTACCGCGGTGTGAGAATCGCGCTCCCTACAGCTCCTGGATGATCGGCTTCACATTAAAGGGGCTTGTCTAGACTTCCCTGACGTAAAAAATAAAGTAAGTCTTTAATAAATGCTCACATAAAGCAAAACTAGAATTATTTACGCGTCGCAGACCTCGCCTCGTACTGGTGTTCTACAACGATCATTCAGGTGGCAGCTAGAGCCACTAAATGAGCTGCGCTTAGAGTATCGGCACTCCGTTCCCCGGCATTGTTGTGGACGCCGCCATTTTGGCTCGTATGCAGAGCAGACGCAACTGCCGATCATCATGATTCAAAAGTGCGACTTCCTCAGCATTAGCTTTCGTGTTAGGAAGGTCACGCATTATTATTTTGCTCTGTCACGATTTGTTTAAACATTTGTGAAGGGTGGAAAAGCGTTTCCTGTGATTTCAGATAAAGCTTCAGATAACTGGCAACCATGATTTTAAGACACAATATGGCCAAGTGTCGTTACTCTGAAGCGTAGCTTATTTAGTGGCACTAGTGGCAGCCATTTTGATAGGCGCCAGCGCGCCCCCTATAGGTCGTGAAAGTTGCGAATATGTTCAGCGGTTTCGTCAGCCTTACTGCAAACTCCTCGACAAACTGGAGATTTTTTTTTGTTCATAAAATGTGTTACACGGTTTAATATGGGGGGATTCAAAGAAAGGAGTGCAGTCCAGCGTCGTGCAGGAACTACAGGAGCGACTTCTGGTACTTGTCGTCATTCACCCATTGGGTGTAGTTATCGTGTGGGTGACCCTTCAGTCCGGCCTCGCTGAGTATCTTCTCATGGGTGGTCTTGGTTCAGGAGCAGAGCCACAGCAGATGATGAGTATCCACGGTAGGCACAGGGACCGGGC